CTGGTTTTTGTGGGTTGATATTCCAGAAAAGAAACTATTTTTTATTCAATATCTGCTCTGTCAAGCATCATGAGAAGTATCTTCACATATTATCTCAATCCACAGACCACTGTGAGATAGTAGTACCTCCATTTAACTAATGAAATTGAAGCCCCAAAGCAAATAATAGTATTGTTATTGATTTATAAATGTACACAGAATCACTAAAGTGATTAGAGCTAGAAGGATGCCAACACCTTTTTTACTTCTCTGTTCCTTTTACGAATGAGGAAAGTGAAAGGTAAAGTGATTTGACCAGCCATTGCTAGATAGCTGGGACTAAACAAACATTCCTTATTTAAAATACATATAGAGTATGGAATCCTGAGGTTACCACACTATTCATTAGTTAACAAATAATGGCACTGTTTGTAGTTGGGGCAAACAAATTCTTTAGATAGAATTTTAAAAGTTTATCTCAAATCTCCCAAAATAAGAAAAATGTCCAGATACCACACTCCTTTATTAATATGGCTTAGTGTAAGATACAGTCTATGGACTTGGCTCTGCCATATCAGCCATTACGGTAAGGTCATATAACTAACATTTTGAATAATCATTAAAATGGCTTTGCTCTCCTATTCGTAGGCTTGGAAAAGTCAAATTCTTTCTGTTTAATCAAAGTCTTTCAATTTGGTTAAATCAAAGTGTTATATTTGCAGTTAATAGGGATAAGCTTTGACTCCTTTGTAACAGTCAGTTTCTCCAAACGTGTTTAAACATACAGATCATTCTAATACATGTTATATTCTGATAGAGAAGTATTACTTTGTGTGTACCTTTAAGTGGGGGTAATAAGGACCACTGCCTATACAGATCAGTAAAGCTTCTATACAGCCTGAAAATGGAAAGGGAGAGGCAGCAAAAGGACTCCGAATGTGCCATTCTATAGAAAGTTTGCAGCATTTACATTGCAGCTACACTGATCTATAAAGGGAGCTGAAATCAGTTTCTTACATCCATGCAGATAATCCAATTCTTTCACATAAAATACTTAATGTCTTAATATATGGGTTCATTGCCAGTAAGAATTAGTTTGTTAATGCATGATTGATGCTTTTGTTTTAACCAGGATCTCTTCAAAGCATCAGTTTCATCCATCCAGTGCCTCACTAGCTGGTGGGAGTCCCTTTGAGAAGTCCCCAGTGTGACCACAGGAACCCATCCACAGGCCCAGAGTGGATCTGGAGGCTTCATTCAAACAGCCTGAGTTCTCAGCTTGGCTGAAACTCAGACTAGAGGAAGAGGAGATAGCTCCTCCTCAGTGATTCCCAAATCTGGCTGTTAATCAGAGTCATTGAGGAGCCTTTAAAAATACAAGTTCCGGACCAGAGGCCAAGGGGCCGCCAGCACCATGTTCGGCTCCAGCCGAGGTGGCGTGCGCGGGGGACAGGACCAGTTCAGCTGGGAGGATGTGAAGACCGACAAGCAGAGGGAGAACTACCTGGGCAACTCGCTGATGGCCCCGGTGGGCCGCTGGCAGAAGGGCCGCGACCTCACCTGGTACGCCAAGGGCCGGGCAGAGGGTGCGGGGATGAGCCGAGAGCAGGAGCTGGCAGCCGTGAGGCAGGCGGAGCAGGAGGCGCTCATGGCGGCACTGGGCTACAAGAATGTGCGGAAGCAGCCCACTGGCCTGAGCAAGGAGGACTTTGTGGAGATCTGCAAGCGTGAAGGTGGTGACCCTGAGGAGAAGGGGGTGGACCGGCTCCTGGGCCTGGGGAGCTCCAGCGGTTCTGCAGGCCGAGTGGCCTTGTCCCGAGAAGACAAGGAGGCGGCCAAGCTGGGGCTGCCAGTGTTCACGCACCATGGCGTGGACAGCAGTCGACCCGGGGCCTCCCCAGCTCGGAAGAAGCCCAGGCAAGAGGAGAAGGTGGAGCAGGGTCCCCAGAGTCACAAGAAGAGCAAGAAAGAGAAGAAGAAAAAGAAGAAGCACAAGAAAGAGAAGAAGAGAGAAAAGGAGCACAGAACCTCACTGTCCTCGGCTTCGGCCAGGGCCCACCATCGCAAGCACGATTCCAACTCCTCCCCCAAGAAGAGGAGAGGGCATGACAGTGACTGAGGTCCAGCCACCAGGACCTGCCCATCCCAGGCAGGCCCCGTCCTCAGTGAAGCCTTTGAGCATGTGCCCTGCCAGGCCCAGGCAACTGTAGGGCAGGCTAGTGGGGGCCCTACCAGACCCCTGTAAGCAGACAAGGTGTCCAGGTGAGGCCTCACCCTCAGATAGCCCCAGGCCCACCAGAGGGCACACACCTGTCCAGGAGGTCCACCTGCCTCAAGCTCCAAGTACTGTTACTTCTGTTTTTCCTTGTGTTGACTCACCCTTTGTACTTAAGCAAACTTATTTTAAGCTGAAAATAAAAAATACAAGTTCCTGAAGGTTATACACTGGTAATTAATTTATTGAGCATATATTTATTGAGCACTTAGAGTATAACAGTTCCTATCTAGGTCCTGTATACAATTGAGTGATTCCTTGAATCCTCAAACAACGTTATGTGGTAGATACTGCTGTTTTGAGATGAGGAAATAGACACACAGTGGAGTTGTTGCCTGAGCATTTGCAGCTAGGGATGGCAGAGCTAGGACTCAAACTCAGGCTGTCTGCCTCTAAAACACACATCCTTAACACTGGGCTGCTTCTGGTCAGTTGAGAATGTGACAGCATACTTTATCTCTATTTCAGATCTTAGTATACAACTTTTTGTTATATTGCACTGGTTTGTGTGTGTGTGTTTTAATATATTTTTATTGATTTTAGAGAAAGAGAGGAGAAATACCAATGATGTGAGAATCACTGATTGGCTGCCTCCTGCATGCCCCTCACCAGATTGAGCCTGCAACCCAGGCATGGGCATGTGCCTTGACCAGGAATTGAACTGTGGCCTTGTAGTTCATTGGTCAGTGCTCAATCACTTGGTCACACCGGCTGGGCTGAGCCAGTTTTCAGGAGTTAGGGATGGTGGTGGGCATTAGGTATAACTACAAAGGGGTAGCCCCAGGGAGCTCTCTGTGGCACTGGATAAGTTCTGTGTCTTGATTGTGGTGTCAGTCATGTGAATCTACACAATAAAATGACAGTACATGTACCAATGTCAGTTGCCTATTTTAGTACTGTACTGTAGTTGTATAAGATATGCATATTGGGGAAACTGCATGATTGGCACACAAGACTACTATTTTTGTAATTTCCTGTGAGTCTATCATTTTTTTTTTATATTTTATTGATTGTTTACAGAGAGGAAGGGAGAGGGAGAGTTAGAAAGATCGATGAGAGAGACACATCAACCAGCTGCCTCCTGCACACTCCCTATTGGGGATGTGCCCGCAACCAAGGTGCATACCCTTGACCAGAATCGAACCTGGGACCCTTGGGTCCGCAGGCTGACATTCTATCCGCTGAGCCAAACCGGTCAGGGCTATCATTTTTTTTTAAGTATATGCCTACCTTTGGCAAGCTCCAAGTCAATTAGAGATCTGTCTCTATAAGATTGGCTCAAAGAGACTTCATGTTTTTGTTTTGTTTTTTTAATACGTATTTTTTAATTGATTTCAGAAAGGGAGAGAGAAAAACATCCATGATGAGAGAGAATCATTGATTGGCTGCCTCTTTCCTGCACATCCCACTCGGGATCCAGCCCGCAACCGAGGCATGTGCCCCTGACCAGACTTGAACCCAGGAAGGACCCTTCAGTCTGCAGGCCAATGCTCTATCCACTGAGCCAAACCAGCCAGGGCCAAAGAGACTTTATGTTTGAAGACAAATCTAAGGGCAAGAAAAGCATAATGGCTCTGGGCAGGGCAGGAGCAGAATGGTGATGGCGGTAGCAGCTGAGCAGGGTCACCACTAACAAGCATGTCACTGACTAAAAAAAGAGGGCTGAAACCATTATATCTTGCAATGATTCCCAAATGACTAGTGCCCAGCATTTAAATAAGAACCTTTGGGGAGAGAGCTAAATGCACAGAATCCCTGTCTCACACATCTTAGAGACTCTTGAGGAGGGCAAGGACAGGGTCCAGCAGTCTTGTTGAAAAAGTTTCCCAGGTGTCATGGGTTTGAAAATCTCAGATTAATCTCTGATAAAGCTGGATCCCCAATAACATTTCAGGAGTCAACCACCATGGGGACTGCAACCCAAGCCCTTGGTTGGTATGGCTCAGAGATAAGCATACTATTCATGTCATATAAAAATATCCAACCATAGCCTTTTTTGAATGCTAAGTATGAACAATGAAATGTAACAATTATTTTTTTCTATAGTCTCTTGTTTTTTAATAAGTTTCTCATGGTAGATAATGTAGTTACAAAAACATAATTACAAATACTTTAGGATTTGCCCTGGCTGGTGTGGCTCAATTGGTTGAGCGATGTCCCATGCACTGAGAAGTTCCCTGGTTTAATTCCTGGTCAGGACACATGCCCAGGTTGCGGGCTTGATTCCCAGTAGGGGGTGTGCAGGAGGCAGCCAATAGAAGGTTCTTGTCCATGTTTCTCCCTCTCTCTCAAATAAATAAAAAACCTATTTCAAAAAAATATTTTAGGATTCAAGGGTCATTCATTAGGTACTGCTATAAATTAAGAATGGCTTTGGCTACAAGTAACAAAATACACAACCAACATAAACAGGGCTCTATTTTTCTCATATAGTAAGAAGTCCAGAGATAGGTAGTTTTGGGTATTGGTTCCACAGCTCAAGAGTTGGGACTGACATCTCTGCAGTTTTCTTGGCCTTTCTTTTATGGCTCTAGTGCATTCAAGACTGATGAAAGGCAAGGGTCAGAACCACTGGCATTCTACTGGCCAAAATGGTATCCCATGACCACTCCTCCTGGTAGTAAAGGAACCTGGGAAATTGAGTTTTGTGCTTTTATAGTCTAGACGGCAGAGGCAAGAAAGGGAAAAGGGGAAATACTGGGTTTGGGGTAAACCAACTGCTACTGCGTCTGTGACAGTTTTCAAATTACATTTTATCAAGCATGGTTTAATTAAATCTAGAAACAGCTGATCAGATACATAATAAACTCGGAAAATACTGATTTGAAAATCAAGCATAAACACTTCCACTGTCAATAATTGTACATTGTTGTATTGGTCTTTCATTCTCTGTTGGAACCAATTCCAGTTGTTGAAGAACGTCTGTTCCTTCAATCAATTGCCTAATATAGGAGAAAAAGTGAAAAATTTAGTCATACATTTCCACATTTAGCTTACATTCCTAAATTGAGTCCTACCCTACTTAGCTAAGGATATTTCCTACAAATTAAAGTAACATCAGTGATTAATAAATAGTTCTAAATGTGTCCAGAGTGCCATGGTTCCACATCTATCTGGGACCCTTCCAAATCTGTTATTCTCAATACCGTCAGGGTGAAGTTTGAAAAATGCAAATCTGATTTCACCTCCCTGCTTAAAACACTTCCACAATTTCCCATTATGCTTATTATAAAACCAAAAATCTCTACCATGGCTGGCCTCCCACACCTCTCCAGGACTGTCTTGCAGCATGTGCCCCTTGCTCTCTGCTCCAGGAGGACTGGCTTTTAGTACCTCAGTAGCACCTTGAGCCCTTCCTGTCACTGCTGTCTCCTTTGCTCTTGTCCCCACCACCAACCCCTATGTCTGGTCAATTCCTGGCCTTCCTTTAGGTCTTAGCTCAATCATTTCCTTGTGGAAGTTTCCCAGGTCCCTTTATAGGAATAATCAGGGGTAAATTTGATATTTACTTGAATACTTCTTTGATTCATTTCTGATTCATTCATGAGGGCAGAGATCATGCCTTTGCTGAGTGCACAATACCTAGCACATAGTAGGCACCTAATCAACATCCATTGAATACATGAATAAAAGATACATGAACAAAGTCACCATGCTGGTTTCAGTATCTGTAGACATTCACTGGCCACAAGCTAGAAATCTGAGTGGAGCTAATCTGATGGTTCTCTCAAAAAGAGAGACAGTCCTAAACATGTGCTCTCTACCAATGCTTGTATTGAGGCATGGCTCAGGGGAAGGTAAATTTCCATTTTATGAACCTTCATAGGGACATGGTCAGTGCTGACACTGATCATGCTCTAGTCATCTTTGTCTGCCTCTGGGCTCTATTTTTGCCATCCCAATCAGAAACCATGACAGAGCAGGACACAAGGTACATTCTGAGGATGAAGAGCAGGGGAAAAGGGACAGATTCACCTCAGTCCAAAAAGAATGTGAAGCCTCTTCTCGAAACTGGTTTCACAAATACTGAAGGAGCACCTACTGTGTGTACCTCCTCATTGTTACAGGTATTAGGGCACAAGATGAGACCCAGTCCCTACTTTGTGGTATTCACAGTGTGCCATAGAGGACAACCAGTTTCATTTTCGTAATCAGAGAGGTTTCTGACCTAAGCCTTGAACAGAATTTTGGCAAACTGAAGGGAGGCAGAATGAACAAAAAAGCAAAGGCTCAGAGGTTGTTCTGTGAATGATGGTACTCTGGTCTAGCTTATAGCTCAGCTGCCATGTCAATAGCTGCCAAATCCACGCCTCTACACCTTGCCAGCTTGAATACCTATTTCTGGGATTCAGGAGTTACCACCTGTCTGTTGTATCTTAATCCAAATCATAACTTGTCCATCCTGAATTCATGATCTCTCCCATATCCTTTTTGTCTTCTCTAGCTTGGTGAATGGCACCAACCATTCAACTAATTCCAAAATCCTAGGAGTTCATCTACCTTCACTGCCCAAATATGGGCATGTGTGGCTATTTCTATTTAATTAAAATTAAATAAAATTTAGTTCCTCAGATGCATTAGCCACATTTCAAGTGCTCCAATTGCCAGATGTAAACTTTGTGGTTAAAATGTAAAATGGCATGAAGTTTCTCCATGGGATGAAGAGTTAATAATTATCCCTATGGAGTGACTGGAATAATCTAATACTTATTCAGAAAAATTCTAACACTTCACATCATTTCAGGGAAGAAAAAGTAAACTTCAATGAATATTCACTTCAATAATCAAGTAGCGATATGAAACACTGAAGTGATGAAAAGTATATTCATCCACTGTAGGTCTACAGGCCTATAAGCATCTTGCTAATAATCTACTTATATAAAAACCCTGGGTGGTGTTCATCACGACCAGACCAGAACCATGACCAAGTGGAAGTTAGTCAGTCCTGCAGGGGTTGTCTTGGCAACAGCTGCGCCCTCCCCTGAGCTGCTTCCCAGAGCTGTTTCCTGTAAGGGTGGGGTTTGAGGCAGGAACCCACCCTGGGAGCGTGGAGGCAGATCTTTATAAAGTGTGCTGCGCCAGCACAGCCAAGGGTGAACCTGAGTCGGGGCAGCTGAAAGGCTTAGAAAAGACAGACAAGAGAATGAAAGCTTGGTCTCGGTGGGATGCTGCTTCTCTGAGACACAGCAACCACGCCCACAGCCATGCCTTTATTTTATAGCAGATGCTACGAGGCAAAGTAAGGGCATGACCAAGATGTTTACAACATTCTCCTGGGTTTCAATCCTACTCAACTACATGCACCTGAACTCTATCAAGCCTACATCACTCAGGCATGTGGGGCCACATGTTCAGACCATAGGTTCAAGCTTACAACTACAGCTGTTGGCTATAATTGTGCTGGGAGGGCCCTGCCCTCCAAGCTGGAACTTGCATGTGGCAATGAGAGGACTGTGCCCTCTCATCAGTCCAAGGCTTGACCCTATCCGAAACACTGTAGTGGCTCCCCACAATAAAGTTTTAATCCTGTTTCTTTGTTACTAATGTTGTGGCCCCACCCCATAACAAAGAAACAATTTCTGGAGGATGAGGCCCAGGAATAAGGATTTTAAAAAGATTCCCAGGTGATTCTAATGTGCAACTAAGGTTGAGAACCACTGCTATAGATAATATTAAAAATATATCTAAATGTGCAATTCTTTGTCCAAAAAATGAGCATGTTCAAAAATTAAATGAAGAAAATTTGGATATACTCGATGGAGATTTTTACACATATTTGAGTGATGATTCCATTGATTCCACAGATGATACTGAAAAGGAAAATTTTCCCATCAAATTTCTTAATAGTATTACTCCTTCAGAAATGCCATTTCATAAATTAAAATTGAAAGTGGGTGCAATCATCATGCTATTGAGAAATCTCAATAATAAATGGGGTCTTTGTAATGGTACCAGATTTATTATCAAAAGATTATGACCTAACATTATTGAAGCGGAAGTATTACCAGGATCTGCAGAGGGAGAGGCTGTTCTGATTCCAAGAATTAATTTGTCCCCATCTGACACTGGCCTCCCATTTAAATTGATTCGACGATGGTTTCCCATGATGCCAGCATTTGTGATGACTATTAATAAATCACAAGGACAAACTCTAGACAAAGTAGGCATATTCCTGCCTAAACCCATTTTTGCACATGGTCAGTTATATGTTGCTTTCTCTCGAGTTTGAAGAGCATGTGATGTTACAGTTAAAGTTCTAAGTACTTCATCATAAGGGAAATTAGTCAAGCACTCTGAAAGTGTTTTAACTCTTAATGTGGTATACAGGGAGATATTAGAATAAGTTTAATCACTTTATCAGTCATTGTTTGCATCACTGTTGTTTTTATGTTTTTGTTGTTTTTATATGTTTTTGTTGTTTTCATATCATGTTTTTGTCATTTTTATATCATGCCTCTGTTGTTATATCCTTTTGTTACTGTTTATTTATTAATAAATTTATATATTATTTTCATATACATTTTACTAATTTCCTTTCCTCTCTCACACTTCTATTATAGAGAAAGGGCAAATAGCAATATTAAAATATCTCTAATTAATTTCCTTTTTTAAAAAAATATATTTTATTGATTTTTTACAGAGAGGAAGGGAGAGGGATAGAGTGTTAGAAACATTGATGAGAGAGAAACATCAATCAGCTGCCTCCTGCACACTACCCACTGGGGATGTGTCCGCAATCAAGGTACATGCCCTTGACCGGAATCGAACCTGGAACCCTTGATACCGCAGGCCGATGCTCTATCCACTGAGCCAAACTGGTTAGGGCAATTAATTCCCTTTTAATGTGCAAGAATTTCATGCACTGGGCTACTAGTCTATATATATATATATAGGCCTAAGTGACCGTTCAACTGGTAGCTATGACGCTCAATGCACAGGCATGGAAACATGGAACAGACTGATGAATCTCAGGGGGAGGGTAGGAGGGGAAGGTGGGAAGAGATTAACCAAAGATCTTATATGCATACTAGGGTCCCTCGGCCTGGCCTGCAAGGATTGGGCTGAAACTAGCAGTTTGACATCCCCCAAGGGGTCCTGGATTTCGAGAGGGCGCAGGCCAGGCCGAGGGACCCCACCAGTGCACAATTCACCAGGCCTCTAGTATTCTAATAATTACCAGGGATATCTCCATATTTTAAATTGTTCAGTAAAAAAAGGTTACTTGTGCCCAAGCCATTTTTCTTCAGTAGTTAGATCTCGGTGGCCCAAGATCGAAGGGTAGTGGGTTTTGCATCTGGGTCAAGTGCACATACATTGGTTGCAGGTTCCTCAGCCCCAATAGGGGCATGTGCAGAAGGCAACCAATTGATGTGTCTCTCTGGTTCCAAAGTATCTGTCTAGATGTCTCTCTCTCTTTCTCTCTCTCTCCCTCCTCCCTCCCTTCCACTCTCTAGAAATCAATGGAAAAAATATCCTCAGGTGAGGATTTTAAAAAGTTACTTGCAATTTAGATAGTTTTCATCTATCTCTTCACAGTATTTATGGATAATTAAATGGTTTCATCTCACTTCTGCATCTAAATATATCTACATTATTAAGTACTATGGTATTATTCAACATAATTTAGATTTGGTAATATCCTTTAGGCTGAACAAAAATGGATGAATGGATGGATAGATAAACAGAATATTATAATGGCTGTGCCTCCTAAATATTTTCTGGTTTTTATGGATAGCAAGTTTCTCACAAAATGTTTCTAAATGTTTGTATTTGTATTACTTTTGCTTTTAAATTCTTAGTTACCCATAGACTTCATACAATACTTAATCCAATTTTTTTGAACCACATTTTTACATATATGACTATAATATACACTAACTTACAATACACGTACCCAAAAGCCACATATTTTTTATCTAGATAGGGAGCTGATTGTAGCGTGATGTAGAACTGTGAACCATTGCTGTGACGGCCTTTGTTGACCATTCCAAGAACTCCCCTTTTATTATGAGGAACTGAAAAGCTTTCATCTAGAAAAGACAATAAACAGTAGGTCATTAAAATATTTCTATTATCACATGATCTCACTCATATGTGTAATCTAATAAACAAAATAAACTGATGAACAAAATAGATACAGAGACATAGAAGCATGGAACAGACTGGAATCTCAGGGGGAAGGCGGGGGTGAGTTAGGTCACATGAACAGGCATGGACTTTCAATAAAGAGTAAAAGGAAGTTACGGAAAGGTAAAGGCTATGGTAGAAACTCAGAACCCTCTCATTACACTGCCTGAGTCAGGAGTTCTGCCTGCCTCTGCCACTTACAGGAAGAGAAGGAGTAGCCCTTACTGCTCTGTGGTTAAAACTGACATCATTTGTAACATATGATGTTAACAGTGAAATGGAACAGCTTGTTTGAAATAGAAATCAGAATTCATGTGAAAAAAATCAGTTTCTGAATTTATTTAAAATAAAGCTCATTCTGATTCAAAGATCAGAAGGGAGAGAGTGTGAGAGCTGAATGGTGTGATCCATAAAAGACTAGGACAAAAAGGGAGCAATGGTGTGAAAGGGTTCTGAAATGTAAAGGTCAATTCAATTTCCAATAGAAACACCATAATTCAGAAAAACAAAGCTCATTCTGATACTTATAATGGAAGCAACTACTTTAAGTGTTGGAAACTGCATTGCACTCTCCGGTAAAAGTATAATCAGGCAGTTTGGGACATTTCCATATCATTTTCTGAGGACCGTATGTCAAGTAGACTTTCTGACCTCAATCCTATAATATCAATTTTTAAAAACTACTGCTCTAATTTTACCATCAATATTTTAATAAGTTATTCACTAATTTCTTGTTATAGAAAAGTAAATGAAGTGTGATGCCTAGCAAGATGGGTATTTTTTTTCTATTCATTTTTAGAGACCGTGGAAGGGAAGGAGGAAGAGAGGCAGTGAGGGATATGGAATTATTTTTTATTTATAGAAGATTGAGTTATTGAGGATAGACAAATGAAGGTTTTTCTTGAAAAAGATGATGAGGGTTTGCTTTATAATTATTTTTAAATATACATTTATACCTTCTATACATAGGATATATCTCACCAAAAAAAGTTCTTAAATAGCTACCCAGATATCAGTTCTTATTTAAAATGTTTTTTCTTTATTGATTTTTTTTAGAGAGAGAGAGGAATGGGTAGAGAGAGAGAGAGAGAGTCATCAATTTGTTGTTCCACTTATTTATGCATTTGCTGGTTGATTCTTGTATGTGCCCTGACCAGGGGATCAAACCTGTAACCTTGGCATATCGGGACGACACTATAACCAACTGACCTACCCAGCCAGGGCTTCTTCAGTTCTTGTTTCTAATAAAAAAATATATATATACTTTTGTAGCCATAGCTGGTTTTGCTCAGTGGATAAAGCATTGGTCTGCTGACCAAAGGGTCCTGGATTCAATTCTGGTCAAGGGCACATACCTTGGTTGCAGGCTCCTCCCCAGCCTGGGTCCTGGTCGGGCTCATATAGGAGGCAACCAATCAATGTGTTTCTCTCACATTGATGTTTCTCTCCGTCTTTCCCTCTCTCTTCCACTCTCCCTAAAAATCAATGGAAAAAATATCCTCGGGTAAGGATTAACAAAAAAACCTTTTGAATAACTTTCAGTTGCATTGTTGAGTAGATAGTACATCAGGCTCTGTGCTTTTTATTAATGTCCAGTTTCATTTAAAGATCTTGAGATTAGACAAATAGATTTTTAAAAATTGATTTTAGAGAGAAATACTGATTTGTTGTCCCACTTATTTATGCATTCACTGGTTGATTGTTGCATGTGCCCTGACCAGAAATTGAACCCTAAACCTTGGCGTACTGGGATGCTGCTCCAACCAACTGAGCTACCTGGCAAGGGTAGATAATTAGACTTTAAGTGATGTGTCTATTAGGGCCCAAGCTAATATTAAGAAACTCATCTACTTAATGTACCAAGGATAATTTAGTATTTAAAAATGTATGCTTTTTTTTTTTTTTTTGGCTTTTCATATAACTGACCATTTCTCTAGTCAGCCCAAGCCAATCTAGTCACCAATCCTTCAAGGATGGGAAGGACTAGGATTATTATACAAAGAATAGAAGGAGAAAAAAAGGGTTACTATTCATCATCTAGGGTTTGGGAAGACAAAAAAGCAAAATTCAAAGCAAAAAAGGTTTTCCTCAAATTAAAAAAAAAAAAAATATTAGCCAATTTATAAAATAATCATCAAATTAAATGATATATTCATTCTTTTGAATTCACTGTGTTCAACTTAATAAAAGTAAGTTTTGTGGTTGTAGTGTTTTTAACAAGCTCTGGGTTTTAATTCTGCGTCTCACAGAAACAGGGTCCCATGAGAGAAGTTTGGAGGATGGACTCTCAGTCCGATGTATTAACAATCCACAGGGGTGAAAGGAGGAAAACCCATGCTGTGGCTGTTCTGAGTACTCGTCATGGTCTCTCGCCCACAGTCATCTGGAGCATCCCTCTCTTCACTTGATTGGTTACTGGTTTTCTAATTCTGCATTCCACACAAACAAAACAGTAACAGAAACTTCCCTAAACACACTGGGCCTCCCTGGGCACCAGAGGCCAGGCCTCCATCTGGAGACCAAATCCCCATAACTGTCTAAGGATAGAAACGAAAGATAATTAACAGAGCCACAGGGATGTCCAGAGGGGCAGGTGAGCAGATGAGCTAAGACAGTGGTCGGCAAACCGTGGCTCCCGAGCCACATGCGGCTCTTTGGCCCCTTGAGTGTGGCTCTTCCACAAAATATCACGTGCGGGCGCGCACGTACCTGCGATTGAAACTTCCTGGCCTATGCGCAGAAGTCGGTTTTCGGCCTGGGCGAGTCTATTTTGAAGAAGTGGCGTTAGAAGAAGTGGGGGGTGTCGGGCGGTCGGGCGATAGGAGACGCGGCGCAGGTGGGCCCCAGGATACGGGGGAGGTACATTGTTTTGAGGTACGTTCGCTGAGGTCGACCCCTTCCAACTCTCCCATCCACACTTGTCTTGTATACTTGTTTCAGATAGGTAAGTGTGGGTGGGAGAGTTGGAAGGGGTCGACCTCAGCGAACGTACCTCAATTTGGCTCTCAAAAGAAATTTCAGTCATTGTACTGTTGATATTTGGCTCTGTTGACTAATGAGTTTGCCGACCACTGAGCTCAGAGATGGGTCTCCTCCTGGACAGAAGGCCCGAGTTGTCTGAGACTGTGCCTCCGAGCAGAAAGAGTCTGGGTGATCTGCTAACAGCTGTGGCGGGAGTGGAAGGGTGGATTCTCGTCGGGATTAAGGATGCCAGGAAAGCTTCCAGGAAGAGCCGGTCTGCACTGAACTCATAAGCTGCTCTGGGCCACTGCCCCCACTCCCAGACAGTTAGTTGTTCTTTCTTGTCGCACAGCACTTAGTTCTTCCTTTGGAATAAAAATCAGCACAGCACCTATAGTTTACCTGTTTAAGCATCTGTCATCACAAAAACACTACAATCCTGGAGGGTGGAAACTTGGTCATATCATCTTTGTTTCCAAAGGCACTGGCACCACTGTAGGCACCAAACTAGGAGTTTCCTGATTTATGAGTAAATAAATGAATGCTGTCACTTGCATGGTTTCATTTGATAAAGCTGTCTCACATGATTTTAAAAGGAAACTAGCTTTTACTTTTCCCTTACACTTTGGCCACTGATTCAATATTATTTTTTAAAACCTTTTCAGCCCGGCTGGTGTGGCTCAATGGTTGAGTATTGACCAATGAACCAGGAAGTCACAGTTCAATTCCCAGGCAGGGCACGTGCCCAGGTTGTGGGCTCAATCCCCAGTAGGGGGCGTTCAGGAGGCAGCCAATCAATGATTCTCTTTTTTTTATATATATTTTATTGATTTTTTACAGAGAGGAAGGGAGAGGGATAGAGAGTTAGAAACATCGATGAGCGAGAAACATCGATCAGCTGCCTCCTGCACACTCCCCACTGGGGATGTGCCCGCAGCCAAGGTACATGCCCTTGACCGGAATCGAACCTGGGTCCTTGAGTCCGCAGGCCAACGCTCTATCCACTGAGCCAAACCAGTTAGGGCAATGATTCTCTCTTATCATTGATGTTTGTATCTCTCCCTCCCTCTCCCTTCCTCTCTAAAATCAATAAATATATGTCTTTTTTAAAAATTAAAAAATAAAACCTTTTCATTACATTAAAATACAGACACAAAAAAGCCACAGAAAACAAATATATAATTATTAATTATTATAAGGCAAACACCTTTTTAACCACCACTCAGGCCAAGAGAAGAATTTTGCCAGCCTCCCCTTAAGTCCCTAATTAAGTCCCTCTCCACACCCTCAAAGTCACTATTCCCCTGACTTCTACATAATCAAGTACGTAATGTTTCCTTGTAGTTTTACCATCTAAGAGTGCATCCCCTAGGTAGTATAGTTTAGTCATCCCCATTTTAAGACTTGTTATACCTTTCATTTTTATTTTTTTTTATTAGTTAAGGTATTACAAATGTGTCCTCATCCCGCCCCCCCCCATTAACCCCCAACTTGTTATACCTTTTAAATCTCTTTTAATCTACAGGTTCTGCCTCTATCCCTTTCTTTTCCTTACACTTAATCTGTTAATGAACCTAACTATTTAACCTCTAGAATTTCTCCCAGCCTGGAGCTTGCTCGTTGCACACACATGGTACAGTTCAATATACTTATTTCTCTGTTCTCTGTCCTGTCAGTTTGGCTATATTGCTTGTGTGGAAAATGCTTATTTCACCTTGATTGATAAGTTAGAGAAGGAGTTGAGCATAATGAATTTTGCCCACTCAAGTGCAATTTCCTCCGGGTGTTTCGTAACCAAAACATGTGTAACACTGTTTCTGTTTTTATTAGGTTACTGTCTTATTTTTTAATGTGTCACCGAGAACATTTTGTTTTTAATCTCATTTCTGCCATAAGTCCTGTGGTTTTTATTGCATGATTTTACATAGCACAGAGATCCTTAAGAACACATTACGGCAGAACTGGTCATATTTCTTGCAAATGGGCAGCTGGATCCAGAAGCTCAATCAGACTCCTGTTCTATCCCTTTGGTGGTGTGTCCTCTCAACAGAAGGCTCATAATATCCTGTTTTCTATTCTGTTTTGGGGATGACAGCCGAGACTGATGCAGCAAACGCCTACATCCAAATGCCTATAATGGGGGCAGCAAAATGGTGATATTCCATTATTTCCTTTTCACTAATAATTGGAACACTTATATGATAAGATGGTTCCCCTTGTCTAGTTTAGTCTAGTTCTCATAGAAAAGGCAAGATAAATGGTTGATTCTTTCTCTATATTTATCAGTTTTCAAAATAATGAATTCATTACCTATCATTCCAGAGGGGCAGGTGAGGAGATGAGCTGAGACATGTCTTCTATTGGACAGAAGGTTCAAATTCTAAGCAATTAGGCTTTATTTATAAAATAATATTATTATGAACTCATGGATTTAATATATGTGTTGGGTTTCAAATCATTGCAACTATTATTCAAATTACTCCATCTTTGGCCAGTGAGAACCTCTTCAAATGGGCTCCTGAGGCCTTTGACGTGATTCTAGTAAATCTTTAATAGCGTTCTTGCCCTCTGACGATAGCATGACTAAACATGAGGCTCCAGACTCATTTTGTAATGTCCTGTTCCATCATTGGAACCTGCCATTTCTCCCAAAAGCCCTGGTTTCTTTAAGTGAGAAATGACATTTCAAAACAACAATCTAAATGCTAGGAATGTGTATCATGACCGGATTGGTGGTTGTTTGTAGACCAATTCAGTAGACACAGCTATATACTAGTATATAGATGAGATACTTCTTGAGTTTAAAGTGAAATTTCCAATTCAAATTCAGGACTATGGAATATTTTACTTATTAGCCTCTATCATATTTCATCTGCCCCATCAGGCCATGTTTGGGGGGGGCAACCAATCAATGTTTCTCTCTCACATGAATTTCTTTCTCTCTCTCTCTCTCTCTCTCTCTCTCTCTCTCTCTCTCTCTCTCTCTCTCTCTCTCTCTCTCTCTCTTAAATGAAAAACATGTCCTGGGGTGAGGATTTAAAAAAAAGGCCCATAAACCCAACTTCCTCCCTCTACCTTCTACTTCTTTTTAAAAATATATATTTTATTGATTTTTTTACAGAGAGGAAGGGAGAGGGATAGAGAGTCAGAAACATCGATGAGAGAAAAACATTGATCAGCTGCCTCCTGCACACCCCCTACTGGGGATGTGCCCACAACCAAGGTACATGCCCTTGACTGGAATTGAACCCAGGACCCTTCAGTCTGCAGGCTAATGCTCCATCCACTGAACCGGTCAGGGCCCTTCTACTTCTTTAAGGTACGTATCTGTTGTGTTTATCTGGTCTTATGTTCTGTCTAGTTTGTTTCTGAAATTCTTTTATTATTCTTTCCTCAGTTTATAACCTCATGCTGAGTTTTCCTAATTCTGATTTATGAGTTCTTTTCTGTCTTGTATCATTTTATTCATGTTTTTTAGCTCATTTTGAAATTGTCAATTTTGATCTATTTTGAGCATGTCTTTCATTTTTGTTGTTGTTTTTTTTGTTTTATTTTATATTGGGGTTTTTTAATTGTTTTATTGCTTAAAGTTGAGCATGTCTTTCTAGTGTGCTTTTATTATGTGTAGTGCTGTTACTCTATTCCTTATTCCCTTTTTCCCTTCTAATAATCATGAAACTTTTTGCTGTTCATTATTAGGTAAAATTAATTTTCCTAAACATTTAGAAGCAGGTGTAGCTTTAGAAGAAGCTTTTCTAACTTCACAAACCTTTTTGTGCTGTTTCCAATTGCAGGTCAAGATATGCATCTTGCTTTCTGAGATTTCCTAACTGTGTTCCTATCCCCTCTTCCTCTTCTTCACTGTTGTCCCTATATCCCGCATAATTTTGATTCCATTCCCAGCAATACCTCCTCAATGTGAGCCTGTCCTAGAAGAGGGCCATTTCAGATCAGGTTCCAGAGTCACAGAGGCTAGACTGAACCTTACTACGAGCCCCCTGCACACACCAGCGACTGGCTATTTTGGGGTTCAGCTGTCCTCAGGTCCCTCAGATGCCCTGCTTTCTCCCACACAGATTTCTGGCTGTTGGCTGACAGTGGCTGTTGGCAGTCTGCCCTTCCCTGTTTGTACTTTGGAATTTATGTAACTTAGCTTATCAGTTTTGTTATAAATGTTATCCATGTGTTTTCAGTTTTTCTATCTAATTATTTCGTGTTTTCATTTTGGGATTTTAAAAATTAAAAAACTACACCACCACCACCACTACCCATCTTCCCAGGGTCCCTGACAGCCTAAACAGGAGGATAATCAAGGTGCCAATTCTGAGAATGGCAAATTACAAGCTTTAAGAATCAATTCCCTTTGACCTTACAATCGTAATTCTAGGAATTTATCCTAAAGAAATAATATACTTAGGAAAGTGAAAAAAATGTGTGTACAAAACTGTTCTGGACTAGCCTGGGGTGCCATTTTTAACTCCCACTTTTAGTATGTTATCCCAAACACTATCTTAAGTTGTGAATTGTCCTGTCCTGCTAAATTTGAATAATCAACTAATATATGACTGATAAAATTTAAAGATACATACCTTCAAATGTTGGCCCATAAATTGACTCTCCACCATCTCCTTTTCCAGCCACTATATCTGCAAAATAACAATAAGTAAATATTATAATTATGAAACTAAAAACGAAAGCACAACATTGGCAGGGTAAATAATGCTTTAAATTATGATTCCCCTTTACAAATGACTATGATAAGTTTCATACCATGAAAATATTACTATAATGCATTTTATAAACAATTTTACATTCAAGACACTATTTTTTCCTAATAATTCTTGGAGGTAGGTTAAATTACAATGTAAACTTTGAAATGATGAAGTATTAAATTATAATTGTGATAATGATTTTTTAAAATGTGTTCATATAAATTTTGCTTACTTCACAAGTTATCACATAGTCCATCTTTTAAGAAAAATGGAAAGATTAAACTGAGAGGATAAAATAGAAACAGTAGGATATTTGTAAAGCAAGAATAAAAATAGGTGCTTTAAAAAGAATTATTGTTCAAATTTTCATTCCTTGGAACCCTATAGTGATAACTCATTATCTGGTATTTTGGAAATGGAGTTCATTTGTAATATAATGATTTTTTTAAGTAAAAGATATATTTTTTAATATCAATGCAGCTGTGAAATACAATTTTTTACTTTTTTAGTATTTTTGTTAATCCTCACCTGAGGATATTTTTTTCCATTGCTTTTCAGAGAGAGTGGGAGGGATGGAGGAGGGGAGAGAGAAAGCAGGAGGGGGGGGAGGGCACTCTCTCATCAGTCTGTTGTGAGAGACACATCCACTGGTTGCCTTCTGCAAGCACATGACCCAACAGGGGGCGGGGAGCAAATTGCAACCCAGGCACATGCCCCTGACCTGGAATCAAACCCCCGACCCTTCAGTGCACAAGCCAATGCTCTAACCATTGAACACACCAGCCAGGGCTAATTCTTTATAGTTTTAATAGAGGAAGGGACACCCAAAGTCCTAGAACCCACAGAAGTGGGGCCTAGAACCCTGGGCCCCTACAGAGTAGAAAGAGAAGAATCAACAGTGAGCTGGATGTGGACCATCACACTGAAGGCTAGGAAAAGTCCAGAGCAAAGGTAAGGAGGGGAACAGAGCCAGGAAATCTCAGAAAGCAAGCCACCAACCTTGTGAACACTAGAGAAAAGCAGCGGAACAAGACGCTCTGTGAAATTTTGATTTAAATATTTTTAAATATATATTTACTGCATCCTCTCACAATCCGGGACCCCTCGGGGATGTTGGACTGCCAGTTTCGGCCCAATCCCCACAGGCCAGGCCGAGGGACCCCATCGGTGCACAAATCGGTGCACCAGTCCTCTAGTACGCATATAAGATCTTTGGTTAATCTCTTCCCCCGCCCCCCTCCTCTCTGAGATTCATCAGTCTGTTCCATGTTTCTATGCCTGTGCATTGAGCATCTTCCCCTTGGTGGTCATTGCATGTCATAGCTACCGGTTGACCAGTGACTTAGGCTGTTATATATATAGATTGCTGACTAATTTCTCCCTCTGGGATATTTCCCCCAAAGCTTCCCAAATTTAATTTTGTGCTGTTAACCAGGCACTTACTCTGTAAAGCCAAAGGACTGACCTGAAAAGAACCAAAAAGGAAACCAAAATGCTCTAGGTCTTACTTTTCAGTTGTAATAATGTAACATCTTTGGTGAAAAATAAGTTGTTTTCCATTTATTCTATTTTCAAATCTCCACCTTTAGTATGTTTCTTAAAAGCTTTGTATTTTCTAAGTACTCTAATTTATTTAGGTGAGCATTTAAAAATACATTTTGATTAAAAATGTTTTCCTACTTTCTTATATGACTTGTTATTTTAGAATGTTCCTGATAACATACTTTAGATTTATTTTAATAATTAGGGAATTTTTAAAGAGTATGAATATCTGAACTCATCATTTGGCCATATGAAAAACATCCTTTAAATATATACAACATTGTTGGAGCACTTACTCCTTGATTCTGCTCAACTATGCCAACTGTGGGGTGTACAGGTCCCCAGATGCTGGGTATTAGGTGGAGAAGATATGAGAAGTCAAAGGCATATGAGAGAGACTTTATTGCAGACCTAGTAGCCATTGCTGCTAAGGAGCCATCAGACAAAGCAGTTCTTCAAAGCAGCTGTGCAAAGCAGCCATGTACTGGCTGGTCAGTAACATCCTATGTAATAAAGGCCTAATATGCTAAGTGTCTGACCGTTTGACCATCCGCTATGATGCGCACTAACCATCAGGGAGCAGACGCTCCGACCAGTAGGTTAGCTTCCTGCTGGGGTCCAGCCAATTGGGACTGGGCAAGACGGGCCGGGCACACCCTGGAGCCCTCCTGCGGTCCCTCCCTGGCCTGATCATGTACTGGTGGAGTCCCTCAGCCTGGCTTGCCCTCTTGCAATCCAGGACCCCTCGGGGGATGTCGGAGAGCTGGTTTTGGCCTGATCCCTGCAGGCCAGGCCAAGGAATTCCACCGGTGCACAAATTCGTGCACTGGGCCTCTAGGATCTTTACACCAACTTAGGCAAAAGAGGCTTCTTGCTAAATAGTGACATCAATGTTTGCATTATAGAAAGGTACATCTGCACAGCACATACAGTAAAACCGCTGTGTCCTTGCTTTTGTACATGCATATGGCAAATTGGCCTTGAACATCTGGTGTACTCTGATTAGGGTTCCCACAAACATCTGATATTAAATGTATCTAATCCTATATGCATTTTACAAAAGTAAGTAAAATTTGGACATTCTGATTTGATGTTGCAATTAAGTTTGTAAACTCACCTCCTCCTTGTACCCAAGCGTTCTTTACTATTCGATGAAAAATCGAACCGACATAATGTAGCTTGATGCCACTTTGAGAAAACCCTGCTTTTCCTGTGCACAAGACCTGAAAATTTTTACATGTTTTGGGACATGCCTCACAGTATAGCTACAAAATAAAATTAAAGATTTAAAAGATTAAATATTTAACATTTTGACAGTTACATATTTCCACTCCCCCCAACTTACTAACAAACAACAACAAAACCTCTTACCTCAAAAACCAATCTTCCAATTGGATGAAGACCAATAGAAATATCCAAGAACACAAAATCATGCTATTAAAATTCAGGAGAAAAGGATAATGCAGGTCAATATCTTGGAAGAAAATTTAAAAAATGACCAAAGATAAAACAATATTTTTATTGATAAGATGTTAATAGCATTCCCAGTGGAGAATGTAACAACAAAATTAAAAGAATCATTTAAGGAGTTTTGTTTCATTTTATTATACCAAGTCTTTACAACCTAAATAACACACTTTTTAAAACCTTTCAGCAACATTAACCCATCAACAAAACCAAGAAGACATGGCTTAGGTAGCCACTACATCACAAATTAATTGTGGAAAGGACAGTCAGTCCCTTTGAGAAAAGAGACTGGTAATTCTTTTCTTTCCTGAGTAATTTTGGGGAAAAAGCCAGTGTGAGTGCCATGGATTTGGTTACTATGTGTTCTGGATTTTCAGAGGCAGCTCAGCTTAGCTAACCAAAGCCAGGCCAGCCTTTCTGAGAGGGAAAATAAGGCCCCTAAATCCATAGGAGATGTGATTCCAGGGATTGGGAGAGGGGTGCTGTGCAATCATGTCCTCACGTTCCCAGAGGCTCCCAGCTCGCTTTCAATTGCCATCCTTTCCAGTAGAGACAACTAACATTTGTGAGATGTCTAGCCCTACCGAAAGGCATCCAGCATGAAAGCACTAGTCTCCATCACGGTGGCATTCATTTAGGGAGCAGAGCACATCTAATGGAACACATTTTGAATATTAGACACCATTCTCATACATAAAATGCCACCTGATTTAAAAGGTACATAATTTGCCATGTCCTATTTCTTAAGAATCTGGGAAACATAAATGAAATCATCACTCTCATTAATTTTATGTCACTTTAACCTTTTTTATTATTGATTTAAGAAAGGGAGCGAAAGAGATGGAAACATCAATGATGTGAGAATCATTGATCGACCACCTCCTGCATGTCCCCCACTGGGGGTCGAGCCTGCAACTGGGCACATGCCCTGACCGGGAATAGAACCAATACCTCCAAGTTCATAGGTCAAGGCTCAACTGCTGAGCCACACTGGTCTTTTAAATAATCTTTTTAATGGAAAGATTAAAATAATGTATATTCTGGCATCCCTACTAATTATAATTAACAAGCGACCCAATGGGATTTAACTGCAAGGCTGCAGCTGTCTCGGTCCTAACAGGCCTGGCTTTGTCCGTATGGTTGTCCAGAAGTTCGTCTGGACGGTCATTCTGCTGTTCGGTCTAATTAGCATATTAGCTCTTTATTACATAGGATTTGTGCCTCTCAGCTTCTGTACTACAACTTCTTGATTATAAAAGAATATTATCACTTCAGAGTAAGAGGCATAAAAATAAAACAAATTAAAAAAAAAAGAGTAAGAGGCATAACATAGTCAACTTCACAGGCTTAAAGGAAAAAGAAGGATCTACTGAAAATCATGATTCCCTGTGCAATAATATCTTATTTTTCTGGGGTTGTCAAGAGCAGGTAATTCTGAAAATTATAATGAAAAGAGAGTAAAAGGAAGGCAATACAAGATAATGTCACCTAGCAGCCAAACACACAAATATAATTATGTAGCACATCAATCCAACCCAAAGGTAAACAAGTCCCTGGGTTTTACTGAGCAAGAAAAATCTACCATTTGGGGGGGAAAAAACACAAAAACCTAAGGATCTTCTCTGGAACGTAGGTCCCCTTCCCTCACTGCCACTAGTTAATGGAAACTGTCTTTACCTCTAGCCCATGCTGCTATAGCAGCTTTCCAGAAGGCTGCCCTGCCACCAGGCTTCCCTGACTCCAGCCTGTTTCTGCACAGCCCTAAAAGTTTTTCCAGCCCTAACCAGTTTGGCTCAGTGGATAGAGTGTTGGCCTGTGGACTCAAGGGTCCCGGGTTTGATTCCGGTCAGGGGCATGTGCCTTGGTTGCGGGCACATCCCCAGTGGGGGGTGTGCAGGAGGCAGCTGATCAGTGTTTCTCATCAATGTTTCTAACTCTCTATCCCTCTGCCTTCCTCTCTGTAAAAAATCAATAAAATATATATTAAAAAAAAAGTTTTTCCAGAAAAGCAAAGGACTGTGTCATACTTTTTATGAAAAGTTCCTTCTTGATTTAACCTTTCTTCCGTGGATCCGTTGGTTTGTTGGGGTTTTTTTTTTTTCTCTTCTTCCTATTTAACAGCTGAAGACCTTTCCTATTTGGGCAATTCCCCACAGGGCCCAGCCACCGTCCACAAACCCTGAAGGGGCCAGATTCTCCCTCTTCCCATGCTGTGAGAGCCTGGGTGCAGGGATATGACCTGGGCTCCACTAGTTAGGTAGGTGCTCCTGCCTGCGCAAAGACACAAGGGCAGCGAGAAGTTATTCTTAGGGAAGGTGACAATTTGAACCCAGGCCAGCGGGCACCCATGGCAGTCCTTGGCTGCACATTCCTGGGAGGGTGACTCTGGCCATTTTCTCCTGTGGCCAGGCTTCCTTTGGTCCCTACCTGCTTACCAAAGCAGGTTCTCAGCTTACCTGTCACTTGTGAGGTTACCAATATCCCTTAAATACATACCCTTTCTCCTTAATCTAAATTAATCAGAGTAGCTTAGTATAGATGACATCGAGAATCGTGACTGATACTCTTTCTTCCAGCCGCGTTTCCCCAGTACTTCTGGTCTCCTTGCCGTCCCAGTTATTCCCAGAGCACCCCACGTACTGCTTTGCACATTAAGTGCCGCCTTGCACCCCGTAGTTTCTACATTTTCCAAGTGCATTGTTTATTCAACCAAACATTCATGGACCACCTACTATGTTTCAAATTCCGTTCCAGCAGTGGTTAAACAGGGATGCAAGATACTGGTCTTTGCCCTTGCACAGCTCAGAAAGGCACTGGATCTTTCTGTAGGCCCAGGCCACCAGGAGCATGTAGTAATCTTCAACATGTGGTATAGTTGTTGCTACAAACTTTGTGAGCAAAATTACAGAGTACTTTTATCTCTATTGTCATCCAATCCCGACGTCTGTCCCTCACTCTCTGGACCTCAGACTTCATGACTGTCCTCTGCCGTAGAAACCCCAGTGACATGGCATCCTGCTCTCACCAACTGTGTGTCATGCTTTAAAATGTCACCTTCCTTCCCAAACTTCCCATTCTCCTGGTGCAGTAACTGTCACTTAGGTGTTAGTACTAATTAATATCTCACACTGAAGGTGAGTGAGCGATAGGTTTGACCTTCTTTGACGGAGAGTCTTTATATTTTAACACAAATGATAATGTCTATAAACCTCTAGCAGTCGTTCTCAACCTTCCTAATGCCACGACCCTTTAATACAGTTCCTCATGTTGTGGTGATCCTCAACCATAAAATTATTTTCGTTGCTACTTCATAACTGTAATTTTGCTACTGTTATGAATCGTAATGTAAATATCTGATATGCTATATGTGTTTTCCGGTGGTCGCGACCCACAGGTTGAGAACCACTGCTCTAAGGGGAGTGGGAATGTCTGAATGGAGATACTCCTGGCTGCCAAACCCTACCACATTATAATCCTTTGCAAACCTGGTTTCCTACTCTTTTATATTCCCTTCATTAGGATATCAGTAATTAATGCTGAGTCAATATAAATCATCAAAGATTCCACTATTTTTCTTTAAAAGTCAGTGTAACTTGCCTTGGTGTCGCTTAAGAATTTAGTAGAAAAATCCATAGTAAGTGCCTCATAAAGTGCAGGAGGCTTAAAGTCAATCATATTCCACACCTTGTGGGCCCATTTCTGAAGTTCAAGTGCATCACCCAGCAGCAGATCATTAATAAAACACATGACATTGGAAGAATATTCCCAGACTTCATTCTTAAGTTCCTGTAAAGGAAAAAAAAAATGTAACAAAGAAAGAAAACAACAGCAATAAGCACATGCTAAATCCACAAGCCAGATCTTGAATTCAGCTCTAGGTCTAAATCTCTAAAATATATATTTTTTGCCACCTCTCAGAATTTTGCTCTCAGCAAGAATTTAAGAACATTGTTCAAGACTCTGACATCACTTAAAGCAAAGAATGACCTAAAAATAATCTTAAATGATATAATCATAGAAAATAGATGATGACCTGGTAATAAAAATCTGTGTGTAGCAAACTTGTTACAGTAACTTGAAACGAAAGGCAATTTGTGGTGTCATTTTTTTTATTTTTGGTTAATTCTCACCTGAGGATATTTTTTCCAGTGCTTTTCAGAGAGAGTGGAAGGGAGGAGGGGGCAACACTGACCACATATGCCACGATGGGAGTGGGGAGCGAACCCACAACCCAGGTGTGAGCCTGTAACCCTGTCAGGAGCCCTTAACTTGGAATGAAATCCGAGACCCTTCAGCCGATGCTCCAACCATTGAACCAGGCCGGCCAGGGCTGTAGTGTCATTTCTGAAGCACATCTGACTGTGTGCACACATGGAGTGTGCATACATGGGAAGGTCAGGGGTTCTAAGACACGGTTTTCAGTGCAAAGCATGGGAAGAATGCTTTATTCATGGAGGTGGGGTCAGGGTGAGGGCCAACAGGACCTTCTGGGCACCTGAGGGGAAGGGAGGAAGGGGACTCACCTGCATCAGCACTTTCAAGTACTAAGTGCGTTTTCATCCACACGACACTGCCAGTCAACCTCCTAATCCCAGTTGTGTCCCCTCTGAGGATTCTGGTTTATTATTCCCAGTGTTATGTCACATGTCAGAACCATGTCTAATTTGGGACAGCTGTTCTCTAATTTTAGCGGGCAATCAAAATTACAAATTCCCAAGGCCCCACCTGAGTTTCTGATTCTGGGGTGGGGCCTGAGAATTTTCATTTCTAAGAAGATCCCAGGAGATGCCAATGCAGGTGGTCTGGAGACCGCACTTGGAGAAATGCTGGTTTAGGGAACAGCCTGCCTTCAGTTTGCTAACTCGTTCCATTTCAGCTCCTCTAGAGATTTCTTATTCAGCTGTCACTTCCCATGCCCTTATCAAAACCTGTTCAAGAAAGAGAATAGAGTCCAGCCAGCTTGGCTCAGTGGTTGAGCGTCAACCTATGAACCAGAAGGTCACTGTTCGATTCCTGGCCAGGGACATGCCCAGGTTTCGGGCTTGATCCCCAATGTGGGGCGTGCAGGAGGCAGCCAATCAATGATTCTCTCTCATCATTGATGTTTCTATCTCTCTTCCCCTCTCCCTTCCTCTCTGAAATCAATAAAACATATATTTTTGAAAAAAAGAAAGACAATACACTTGTTCATGCTGAACTGTAAATCACTGATAGAGCTTACAGGTCAATACTTCCCAGACTGCTTAACTCGACCAATGTTATCACATTTCACAGGACACAAAACTTGGAAAAGGGGAGAAAAAGTTTAACTGTGGATATTTTGGTTCGCTTCACGGAGACATACAGTAGGAGATACACTTTACTCAGAGGCTGAAGACATAATGCCTCAACTCTGTCTTCTGTACATGAGGAGTCCTCGCCTGCCTCAGGACAGTGACGGAACCTGCTGGTTTCTGGGGCTTTCCAGCACTAGGTGTATGACATTGCCTTTCTGCAGAGAGGAAGGCATTTAAGAGCCCTGAAGCCATCCCTCGGGTGTGCAACACATTCTGCTGAAGACCAAGGCCAGCCTGGACCTAACCGCGAATGTGCTAAGAAGCACTACAGCTGACACGTGACACAACACTTACATGAAGGACAAAATACTGGCCTGAAAGGGAAGAGAAGGGTAAAGTGATAATTATCCGGGAGAGGAGGGTTAGAGAAGGAAGAAAGGAAGAATAAGGAATAAAGAATAGGAAAGCAGCAGCAATGATTATCTAAAAGCCTCATTCAGGCCGCATGAGAAACGCAGGAGGAGAAGAGAACACAAAACATTTCAAGGTCAACAACCCAGGCTGAAAAGGGCAAGAAAATACTCTTTAAAGAGTATAGTGGGAAAACATCAGAGGAGCAGGTGCAAGTAAAACCCAAGACCATGGTTCCTGGAGGTGCAGAGCGTGATGCTGGTTGGTACACAGTATAGTAAGTCTGATGATAAAAATTAAGAAAAACACTGTTTGCCCTAGCCGGTTTGGCTCAATGGATAGAGTATCGACCTGCGGACTAAAGGGTCCCAGGTTCAATTCCGGTCAAGGGCACATGCCCAGGCTGCGGGCTCAATCCCCAGTGGGGAGTGTGCAGGAGGCAGCCAATCAATGATTCTCTCTCATCATTGATGTTTCTATCTCTCTCTTCCTTCCTCTCTGAAATTAATAAAAAAAAATTTTTTAAAAAGAAAAACATTGTTTTATGTTAGGGTGCCCAACAGTCCTGGTTTGCCCAGGACTGACCCAGCTTTGGCATTAAAATTTCTGTATCCCAGGAAACTCCTTCATCCCAGGTAAACCAGGGCCATCGGCCACCCTGGTTGGTGTCAGGATTAGAGTTAATATATGTAGAAGCTATTAGAATAGTGTCTGGCATATAATAAGCACCATTTGTAAGTGTTAGCTATGATTCTATTTGAATGCCAATGAAAGGTACTATGGCTATGAAAATGGCATGAGACTTCACGAGTGGTATTCTTGACTCAGTTCTGTACCATTCCTGTGACTGGAGAGTGAAGTGGTGTCCGGTAAAGCAACACTATCTGCATGATAATCACAGGGTCACAGGACTTCCTTGTGCAATCAAGCACAGAACAATCGAAACTGATCTGGTCAGGGGGCATGGGATTTCATCAGCCACTGGCCAGATCGGGTGGGGAAGGGAAACCAGGACTGGGAGTCTCTACGGGACTGGGCCAGGGGTATCAAGCAAGGCGTATACACCATTCCAGCCCCCACCACTGCGCAAAATGAGACACTGCTGAGCTACGATGCCACCTTAGAATCCACATCACATCCTCCAGGCAGCACTACAACTTATCAGGGTTGGCACCCAAGAGAAAACCTATCTGCCCTCTCTGCTAGCCCTGGGAGTCACCAAGCATACTGTTGGGGAGGAGAGGCGGAGAAGGAAACTTCAGTTAGCACAAGGCGACCCTGTGGGAACTTGGTGCCTGTCATCAGAGTTCCCCCAGGCAACACAAGCCCCTCATTATATCTGTGATCCAAAACCAAAACCTTCCAGAGAGACGCGTGCCAGGCCATAACACCTGAGCATCAGGGTGTCAGAGGAAGTGTGGGTGAGCAATGTGCAGGGAAAGAGGGGTAAATAGCAGCATTGAGAGTTTAAAACTTACCTTTATCACATGCCTTCCTAAAGAAAATCCTGGGAGAACCAAGATGGCGACATAGGTTAACGCCGGAGTTTGCTGCCTTGAACAACTACTTCAAAAGTGAAACTAAAAGACGGAACGGACATCACCCAGAACCACAGGAACGCTGGCTGAATGGAAGTCCTACAACTAGGAGGAAAGAGAAACGCATACGGACACTCAGAGGAGGCGCAGTGCTGAAGTCAAATTCTGAGGTGCGGAGTGCGCGGAGCGGGCTGGCGGCGGAGGGCGCGGTTGGCGTTTTCAATCGGGAGGGAGTCGCAGACTCTGAGCTCCAGATCCCGGCGAGTCTTTAGGGACCCAGACTCAAACGGGAGAAGCGGGACTGTCTGGCTTCGGTCAGAGCGAGTGCAGCTTTCTCTCCGAGGTTTGCAGCGGGTGCTGGGACTCAGAGAGGCAGAGCCCCTGGGGACAGGACTGAGAGCCGCCATAACTGCTCTCTCCAGCCCACCCTGTTGATCCTGTGCGACCCGCCCCGCCCAAGCCCTGCGAAGAGGCATTTACCGGATAGCCTCAGGCAAAGGCTAGATTAGCACCTCCCTAGAGGTGCTAACTTCTGAGTTCTCTCACTGCAGACACAGCTGATTCTCATAGCCACTTGGCCTGGAGGTCAAACCCTCCCTGGTATTAGCTACAACAATCAAGGCTTAACTACAAGACTGCGCACAGAGACCACTAGGGAGTGCACCAAGTTAGCATAACAAAATGCGGAGACAAAGAAACAGGACAAAATTGTCAATGGAAGATATAGAGTTCAGAACCACACTTTTAAGGTCTCTCAAGAACTGTTTAGAAGCCGCCGATAAACTTAATGAGATCTACGAGAAAACTAATAAGACCCTCGATGTTATATTGGGGAACCAACTAGAAATTAAGCATACACGGACTGAAATAACGAATATTATACAGACTCCCGACAGCAGACCAGAGGAGCGCAAGAATCAAGTCAATGATTTGAAATGCGAGGAAGCAAAAAACACCCAACCGGAAAAGCAAAATGAAAAAAGAATCCAAAAATGCGAGGATAGTGTAAGGAGCCTCTGGGACAGCTTCAAGCGTACCAACATCAGAATTATAGGGGTGCCAGAAGATGAGAGACAGCAAGATATTGAAAACCTATTTGAAGAAATAATGACAGAAAACTTCCCCCACCTGTGAAAGAAATGGACTTACAGGTCCAAGAAGCGCGGAGAACCCCAAACAAAAGGAATCCAAAGAGGACCACACCAACACACATCATAATTAAAATGCCAAGAGCAAAAGATAAAGAGAGAATCTTAAAAACAGCAAGAGAAAGAAACTCAGTTACCTACAAGGGAATACCCATACGACTGTCAGCTGATTTCTCAACAGAAACTTTGCAGGCCAGAAGGGAGTGGCAAGAAATATTCAAAGTGATGAATACCAAGAACCTACAACCAAGATTACTTTATCCAGCAAAGCTATCATTCAGAATTGAAGGTCAGATAAAGAGCTTCACAGATAAGGAAAAGCTAAAGGAGTTCATCACCACCAAACCAGGATTATATGAAATGCTGAAAGGTATCCTTTAAGAAGAGGAAGAGGAAGAAAAAGGTAAAGATACAAATTATGAACAACAAATACACATCTATCAACAAGTGAATCTAAGAATCAAGTGAATAAATAATCTGATGAACAGAATGAACTGGTGATTATAATAGAATCAGGGACATAGAAAGGGAATGGACTGACCATTCTTGGGGGGGGAAGGGGTGTGGGAGATTCGGGAAGAGACTGGACAAAAATCGTGCACCTATGGATGAGGACAGTGGGTGGGGAGTGAGGGCGGAGGGTGGGGCGGGAACTGGGAGGAGGGGAGCTATGGGGGGGAAAAAAGAGGAACAAATGTAATAATCTGAACAATAAAGATTTAATAAAAAAAAAAAAAAAGAAAATCCTGTAAATATTTTACTTTTTCTTAAAATCAGCCTAGTAAATGAATGAAATGATTTAGGAAAAGTGCATGATTTAGAGAAATAAAAGTTAGTTGCACTAAAATTACTACCTCAGTTTTTCCAAAACAATGCATAAAAATACCTCAGGGAAAACTCTGCTCATTTCCCCCACCCCGAATATCCTTTACCCTTTTCTTCTTCTGTAGATATTGATCCCATGCAAATTCTTGAAGAGGAACCATTATAGGATCATCAAATTTGGATGGAAAATTGCTCTTCAGACACTAGGTTTCAAAATAGAACAATTAGTTTAGAGTAAGCTTTTTTACACTTGATCTTAGCCAAAGGGCCGAGAAGCGATAGTAAGCTTTTTTTAAAGTAGTAATAATTTCCCCCAGTTTTTATGAGGTCTCCAAGAAATTTTATACCACGCATATCCAAGCTGCAGTCTAGTTAGATGCCCCTTGCCAGCCACCCAGAACCCTGTGTTTACTGCCATTAAGTCACTCCCCAGTCCATACTGGTCTTATTTGTTTCTTTGAGGACAAAGACTATGTCTTAATTTTCCTATATTTCCACTGGCCTCAACATCTGGCACTGAGTGGATCATTCACATATAGCAACTGAATAAACAAATTAACAAATTAACAAGTTTGTGCCAATAGTTTTGTGATCTGCCACGTTCGTTTAGGACCAGTTTTCCTAAATTAAACTCTTACTAACCCTCAGTGGATCTATGGATACTTTTAACTAAAATAAATAGATGCTTATTTATTTAATTATTTAATTATTGCTTTAATTCTCATATATGGAGAATGACCAAAAGGATATTGTTGGGGTTATACCTCTTGGGAAAAAGAGAAGTAAATACTAAATATGTTTAGGTTTAGATATTGAACATGTTTTAGTTTAACCTGTATTATTTTGTCTTTACGATTCAGAGAAAATTTTCTTACTAGTTAACAATCCCTGTCAAAAATAAAAAGTTTTAACTCCTCATCCGTCATACTTTGCCTCCTCCTAAAGCAAGAGAAGGTAGTTGAGGCAACAACAATTAGGCCTCACCTTTCTGAGTGGGTCTGAGGAACAGATGGGCCAACAGGGAGCAGTGACAGCTGGCCTCTCCCATCGTCGTCTAACAGGACACTGATCTGGCATGTTTCAAGGGTAGACAGCCAGGATGTGAGTACGTCTTGCCTTGGGACTAGGGATAGCAGAAGAGGGCAAGAGCAATCTGGCCATTTCCCCTATGCTGCCATCTTGGTTTCCATTTCCTTCCTAGACTACTGTCCCCAACCAACAGATGATGTGTGCTTTTTTCTCAATTCCGGGCTCTGCGGAGTCTGAGGCAATTGTGCAGGATGACTGTCTCGAACTGAGGGACCACCTGGAATAACTAATAAGCCCAACAGCTTTCAAATTAAGCATACTTAACCACACTTTCTTCATAATTCAGTGTTTGTTCTAAAATAGACTTCGTCCAAATTAGTATATTATGTAATACTTACTCTTTAGAAATCTGAATCTTTGTCAGTTACTCAGGCATCTGGGATTGCTCACGAATTATCACATTGGACTTATTTTCACAGATCCTTTACTGAGATAGAACTAACTGAATTTACATTGATGTCTTCATATTCAAATAGAGCTACAGTAGGCAAAGCTTATGAAAGGGAAATTATCATTACTAACATAATAACGGCACTGTTTTCTTGACTTAGTGTGTGCTCTACAGCAGACCAAATCAAAAAATCAAAAGAGGAATCATATCTCATGCCATGTGAAATTATATGCAAGTCAAATTGTGGTGTGCACAATAGTTTTATTGGAAAACCACCGCTCATTTACATATTGTCTGTGGGTGCTTTTGCACCACAAGGACAGAGCTGGGGAGTAGCCATCGAGAATCTATGGGCCCGAAGGCCTAATAATCTAATATCTGGACTTTACACAAAAACATTGCCCACACCTTATCTACAGTGTGGAGCAGGCACAGAAAACACGTGCTTTCATAAAAGTTGCTGAGAAAAACAAAGGGATAAAATTCCTCAAACACATGAATTACAATTTAGGCCATAAAACTAGGTTAAGCCCAACTAACACAAACAATTCCTACTTGTTTTGATGATCCATATATTGTTTCCACAGCCTTCTGATCACTTATTCTCGTCATTTTGATGTAAACTTTACCTATTTCACAAATTAGTTACTATTTCCTGACTTGATATAATTACAAACTTTTCTTTAACTCTGTGGACTTGGACTAGGCAAGATAGCAATTTGAGATTTTTTCTGTTTGGGAACATTTTGTGTCAAGTATCCAGCTGAGTACTTTGGAAGATAGAAACATGAATAAGGTATTGTCCTAGAGTCGAGTGGGAAGGAGAGAAGCGTGGCATAATTTTAAAGCATCAGTTCTGGAGCAAACCCCAAAGACATGCTGCATTCTACAGTTCCCGGGCATTGGGGTTATAGGAGTGTTGCAACATCACTGACCTGGCCACATCATTCCAATTAAAGTGTTTTTCCATCTAGATCACTCTGTGTGTTTACAAATAATTATCTGTATTCTCCAAAGCACCTGATGGTTGGTCATTTATGAAGAAATCCCCTTAAGCACCTACTTCGATTGGAATGTAGTGACTGCTATAGAAATTTTAAATAATAATAAAAAAAACTTCCCAAATGGTTTTCAAAAATCACTTGGAGTGGGAGTTTGTAAAAAATAAAAAACAGCTAATTATTTGGTAGCTTTTTCCTAAACATTTTTTCGTGAATTTTTAAAATCTGTAATTTCAGTTAAAAGTTAATGTGGAACACAATGGTGTGGCTACGCAGAGGGGAGGAATTACCTTTGTGCCCCGCAAGGTTCTGAAGGCTTCCTTCGCTCGGAAGGCCCTTTAAAGGTAGCCCTTCTCGAAGTGGAATGCCCGCCCCGCAGAACCCGCACATTTCCCCTGCACGCTCAGGTCCAACCAGACCGGCGCCGCTCAGCCGGGACGCCGCCTTCCGGAACATCGACCCCCCCCCCCCCCGCCCCCGTCGGCCTCCACGAGGGCGAGGCGAGGCGAGGACGCGGGAGGGCCGCCGCACTCGTGGCTGCTTCGCCGTTACCTCTGCGGTACTCTTCGCAATCTGGAAGCTGGAGCTCTTGAAGACCCCCACCACCTTCACCTGCAGCGGCCGCTCGGGCGGCGACGGCGAACGGCACTGGCCCGCCATCCCCGCGCTCGCGCCCGGCTCCGAGCACAAACAGTGCGTGTCGCCCGGGCAACCGCGCGGCCCCGCCCCCACGTCCGCAGGGGGGAGGGAGGGGGCGGGGCCAAGGGCGGGCGGCGGCGGCGGCCCGGCTGGTTTGCCTGTTGCTGGGGAGCCGGGTGGGAGGCGGGCGAGGGCGCGCGGGCCGCCGAGGCCCAGGACAGCTTCGGGGGAGAGGAACCGGGAGCCCCGCGCCCCTCGTGCCTCAGCCCGGCTCGCCGCCCGTCCGCGTCCCCCCGCGCGCGGGCCTCGCTCCGGTACGCTCCCGGGCTTCGCCACAGATCGCCTTTCCGGCTCGGGGGGCAGCCAGCTGGGGCCAGCAGCCCGGTTGCCCCGGTAACGCGGGCGTCTGTCTCGGATCGCGAGGGGGCCCCGGGCTGGAGCGGCGGGGGCTTAGGAGCCAAGCGCGGCTTCGGGCCCCGGCCTTCCTGGGAGCGCGGGGGCGGGGCTGACCACCTGTGCGCGCCGCCCCGGGAGGAGGTGCCGCCCGCCCGCTCGGGTCGGACCGCGCCCGCCGCGGAGGAAGCCCATCTGTCACTTGTCCTTAGCGCGTCCCGCCATGAAGCCCAACTTCTCCATGAGACTGAGGGTTTTTAACCTCAACTGCTGGTGAGTGCTTCCGCGGGGTGCGATCTGGGGCCGCAGAAGGAGGAGGCCATCCTCACATCCCGTCCTACCATCTCGGGGCTGGGGGAACCCGCACCTCCAAAACCCACACCTGGCCCCGCTAGTGGGTCGGAGGGCCGAGCACCCCAGCAGCCACCCCCCCTGGCCCTTCCGTCCTTAGGGCCATCCCCTACCTGAGCAAGCACCGAGCGGACCGCATGAAGCGCCTGGCGGACTTTCTGAACTTGGAGAGCTTCGACCTGGCTCTGCTGCAGGAGGTGGGCTGGGGGGAGCCCGGTGGGAGGAGCGGTGGCTGCACTTTCCCCCCCCGAGGGAAGAGCCAGGCGGACTGTCTCTCCCCTCGCCCCCCAGGTGTGGAGTGAGCAGGACTTCCAGTACCTGAGGCAGAAGCTGTTGCCCACCTACCCATCTGCACACTACTTCAGGAGGTGAGCAGCCTACTGGCCTGGACACCGGAGGCTCTGGGCCCTGCCATCCCCCTGTCCGGCCTGCACCCGCCCCCCTCTTCCCCAGCAACTTTTGTCTGGGTGTGGAAGCGGGAGAGGGTGGAACCAGGAAGATCCTAGCTCTTCAGCTCACCTTCGGCCTTATCATCGGGTCACCTTATCATTCTGTCACCTTATCATTCATCCCACAAAGGCTGTGGCTTTGAGCTGTGTTCTGGGGCTGGCCCCAGCAGGAGACAGAAAGAAGTAGCTGATAAGTGCTGAGACAAGGGAAGGGAAGAGGACTGGTTCTTTCTCTTCCTGCTTTTCTGGCTGTTATTAATCAGGACTTGTCTTTCAGTGGCATCATTGGCAGTGGCCTCTGTGTCTTCTCCAAACACCCAATCCAGGAATTCACCCAGCATGTCTACACTCTCAATGGCTACCCTTACATGGTATGCCTGATCTCTTCCACCCCCCCTTCCCGACCCCTCACTAACACCCTAAAGGAGGCAGCTTCCTAGGGCTGCAGGGATGGGCAGGAAGAGGGAAGCAGCCCTGAGTTCCTGCACGCCCCTGCCTGCAGATCCATCATGGTGACTGGTTCTGCGGGAAGGCTGTCGGGCTGCTGGTGCTCCATCTAAGTGGACTGGTCCTCAATGCCTACGTGACCCATGTGAGTGAAGCGGGCGGGCAGTGCTGGGGGCTGGGACAGGCAGCCTGGTCCTGGAAGGGAGAGACGGGGCTCCTCTAGCTGGACCGCCCTGGGGGTGCGGCGTGAGGGCAGGCTCTCCTAAAGTCAGTAGGCAAGGTTCACCCGCTTTTACCGAGCACCGTGCCAAGTGACAGACACAGGCTTAATGCAGACCTTCCCTTGGGACCCTCAGTCGCATCTGCTGTAATCTCATCTATCTTGCTCAGCTCCACGCAGAGTACAATCGACAGAAGGACATCTACCTAGCACATCGTGTGGTCCAAGCTTGGGAACTGGCCCATTTCATCCAGTGTGTGAGCCTGGGCTTGACAAGGGAAGTGGGATGGGGTCAGGGGCTGAGGGGTGGCCAGGGTCTCACTCATAGGACAGAGGCTGGCGAGGGAAGAATTCTTGGCCTTACTCACCCGGTTTCCCCAGCCATACATCCAAGAAGGCTGACGTGGTTCTACTGTGCGGGGACCTCAACTTGCACCCAAAGGACCTGGGCTGCCGCCTCCTGAAGGAGTGGACAGGACTGCGTGATGCCTACCTTGAGACCCGGGACTTCAAGGTGAGGGACTTGCCTGATTATTTCCCCACCTGGAGGCCCAGCTTCTTTCCCTCTTCCCCTGCATCCTGGCACAAGCCAACTATTCACCTAGGGCTCTGAAGAAGGTTGTACCATGGTACCCGACAACTGCTACGTCAACCAGAAGGAACTGCAGCCATTTCCCTGTGGCATCCGCATCGACTATGTGCTTTACAAGGTCAGGCCTCGCCCCACACTGTGTCTTCACCCACCGTGTCTCTTCTCTCACCAACCTGTGTGGTTCCTGTGTCCAGTCTAGTCTAGTCTTAGTTCACTGATGACTGGAGAATGGGATAGCCAGGAGCTGGTTCTCTGGGAAAGCAATGTTCCCTCTCTGGCCTTTACTTTTCCCAGGCAGTTTCTGGGTTCTACATCTCCTGTAAGACTCTCAAAACTACCACAGGCCTTGACCCTCACAGTGGCTCCCCACTCTCTGATCATGAGGCCCTGATGGCTACTCTGTGTGTGAGACACAGCCCACCCCAGCACGACCCGAGCTCTACCCATGGTGAGCCACCCCACCCTTCCCTTTGGTCCCTCCCCACCACAGGGCAGCCCTTCCACGCTGACCCTCTCTTCTGCCCCACTGCCCTGCCCTGTTCTAGGACCAGCAGAGAATTCACCATTGGTCACTGTGCTCAGGGAGGCTTTGACAGAGCTGGATCAGGCTGTGGCTCAAGCTCGTCGGTGGGCCACCTGTGCTGGCTACGTGATTGGTCTGGGGCTGCTTCTCTTGACAGTGCTGTGTAGCCTGGCAGCTGGAGGCGGGGTCAGGGAAGTTGCCATACTGCTGTGGACCCCCAGTGTAGGACTGCTGCTGGGGGCAGGTGCAGTCTACACCTTCCACATGCAGGAGGCCAAGGGCTTATGTAAGGCCCGGGCTGAGCTCCAGCATGTGCTGGGAAGGGCAAGGGAGGCCCAGGACCTGGGTCCAGAGTCTCAGCCAGCCTTGTCCCTGGGTCATCAGGAGGGGAACAGGGCTGAGGACCAATAAAGCTTGGCACTTGGATGGCTCTGCCTTTTTTTCTTGTAGAGGCAGTGACTGGGGCCAATGGTCAGCCACGGTCACACTGTAGACCAGTGATGGCAAACCTATGACACGCGTGTCAGAGGTGACACGCAAACTCATTTTTTTGGTTGATTTTTCTTTGTTAAATGGCATTTAAATATATAAAATAAATATCAAAAATATAAATCTTTGTTTTACTGTGGTTGCAAATATCAAAAAATTTCTATATGTGACATGGCACCAGAGTTAAGTTAGGGTTTTTCAAAATGCTGACACGCTGAGCTCAAAAGGTTTGCCATCACTGGTGTAGACCTTCAGGCTCCTTCCTACACATCTGCTCTCCCTACACATCCCACCTCCCATCTGCGGGCAGCCTCAGTCCTGTGGGTGGCAAACACGTTTTTATTGTCAACAGTGAGGCCCTCTCCCAGGCAGCCCAGATGAGCAGGGTGGCACTGTCCTTGGGTGGGATGGTCTTTTAGGAGGAAGGCAGGTAGTACACCCTCCTCTAGCCCTGGGCCTCTGGCCCTGATGCCAGCTCGCTGAGCCGGCACTCCTCCTGGAAGCGGATGAGGGCGTCTCGCTGGTTCACCACACTCACCAGCTTCTTCAGGATCTTCTCCTCAGCCTGCCGGTCGGCAGCTGTCTTTAGGCTTTCTGAAGGGAGAAGACGAAGCTTAGAGAACTGGGCCGGGAGGCGAGAGAGGCACAGCCTAATCCTGGCCTGTGTGGTTTCTACAACCTGACCTTTGTTTCCTAATCTGTAAATTAGGTTGGTCAGCACCAGTGGTTTTCTAGCTTTGTTTCCCAGCGGCAGCCCAGATGCACAGCTCTGATGGAACTGCAGGCAGAGTGGGGGCTGCTGTCCCTTCCTCTGGCATCCTCAAGTTGGAGGGACTCTGACTAGAGGACTGAGGTCTCAAGCCCCATGATGTCTGCCTCTCCCCACATCCTGCATACCTTCCCGATTCATGTAGCCTCGAAGCTCCTGGTCCAGCTGCAGTTGTTTCTCCTCCAGGCTCAGCTCCTGCACCCTGTGGAGGGCAGGGATAGAGGGGCACAGCGTCCATGGTGCCCAAGGACCTAGCTGGGCCTGGCTCATAAGACACTGTCACCTCCCCATGTCCCTTACTTGATCATGAGCTCAGCCTCCTCAGCCACCAGGCTGTTTTTCTTCTCAACGAGGTGTAGCAGCTGTTTTAGCCATAGGGCCTTTTGCTGTTCTGGGGAACCTGATGAGAAAGAAGAAGAGGAACGGGTGGTCTGGAGGCCTCCCACCAGGGCCATAGGAGTCCTGAGCATGAGGAATGGGACCTGCTGTGGGCCGGAGCTCAGGGATTTGGGGGATCACTGGGAGCTGTACACAGTGCCAGAGGCAAAGGGGTACCCCAGCT